TTCCCTTAACGCGGCCGACACGTACAACAGCCTGGGCCACCTGAGCTGCTCCCTGTGCAACGCGCCCGTCAAGAGCGAGCTGCTGTGGCARACACACGTCCTGGGCAAGCAGCACCGGGAGGTGAGCGGGGCTGCAGGGTCTCGGCCGGGTTTTGTTGTTCGGGAGCACCGGGACAGCCTTTGGAAAGGGGAGGGATTGGGACGGGGCCTGGGCTCGCTGCTCCCGGCGGTACTGGGAACAGCGGGACGCCCGTTGGGTTGAGGGAGAACTGTGGGAACAAGCCTGGCTGTTCCGTCTGGCTTCTGTGCTCTTAAATCCTATGCAGGGATTGAAAAGCCAGCCAGAAAAGGGGGTCCCGTGTCCTTCAGGGGCCCGCTCCTCAGGTGAAGCTGTCCCCACGTTAGCGACAGTTTTTGGCTGTCACCTGGTTGCAGCTCGGACTTGGAACAACCCCCGGGCTTGCTTGCTCTGGGACCCGTGAGCTGTCAAGTGACAGCTTTTGCGAGATTAAGAAAATATTCTTTTTTGTCTCTGTAATTTGGCAGTAAAGATGAAAAACTTGTTAAACAAATCAGGGACTTTGTAACTTGGATTCGACCCTGATCTGTTTTTTTTAATCCTTTTAAGTTTTGCTGTTACTTAGCAAAACCTGAAGGACTGTGTTTAATTTTACAAGTACTGAGGAAAAGACCAAATGAACTGAGGGGTTCCAATTCTTTGCCTGCATTCAGACTAGGTGACTGTGGCAAGGCACGGTGACATGTCTTGCATGATGTTAAAGTGCCGAATTTTAATTTTAAAACACTTAACATTCCAGGACTTTAGAACGAATCCAGCCTTCCTGTTCTTTCCTCCAGTGCCTTATTGCTGTGTCACCTTATTGTCTTTCTTACTGGTAGAGCCTCCCTTGAGCAAGTGTCAGTTCCTCTTCATGTCACATCATTCCAGAGGCTGACAGAAACATTGGCCTTTGTTTTGCTACCTGTGATCTGTTTCAGTGCTCTTGTTCTAGAAAGGTATTAGCTCACTTTGATGAGCTGTTGTAAAARCACTGTATTTTAAACTGCAATCCAGAAATTACTGCTAGTAACGTGTCCTGAATTTTTACWTCTTTACAGAGAGTTGCAGAATTAAAAGGCACAAAGCAGACAGCCACTGGCTCAGCTGTTGGCACATCATCTCATCCTGTCAAGAGAAAAACAGTTGAGACAGAAAACACAGACCTAAAGAGGGTAAAAGGTAATGAGAGAGAAATGCTTGCCAGAATCCATCCATTTTACATCTTGAATGCTTTTGGTTTGTTTTGTTCCTGTGGAATTAAGTATGAATACACAAGACTGTTGAGTTAATGTCAGCCTTTTGCTGCTGAAAAGGGGAAAAGTTTGCTTGCTCTTTCTCTGTGAGTTCAGTATCAGGAGAAAACTATGCTTTTGGAAGTTTACCTGGTTTTCTTCTGGTTTCCTGGGTTCAATTAAGTCATGGAACTGTGGGCTTGGCCCAAGTAGAGTGAGAAGCCATGTAAATTAAGCAGTAGGAGCACTTGCCTAGAAGTGATGTTACTCCATTTCAGTGGGATCAAGCCACTGGTTTACCTCAAACCATGCACCAAAGTTATTGCCGAAGGAAAGACAGTTAATTCTTTTCTCTTGGTGCTAGCAGACATGTAAATCTATGAGATATGTTAAACACATATGCATTTGGGAACTTGCTGCTGTCATAGGGGTGCTTAGGGATATTTCTTTGGAAAGCGTGGATTTTAAGAAGTGACTCTTGGCTGTTGTACAGGTACAGACGAAAAGCCACACACGTCTTCATCTGGGTAAGTAGATCTTGCTATTACATATGAACTTTTTCTTTGTACCAGCAGCTGCATTCTTGTCCAGCTCTTCCTTGTCTCTGCTTCCTAGACAAGGGCAAAGGTTCAGAGAGCCAGCAGATCCCTGCCTCTGCACGTTGTCTAAYATTCCTAGACATGGCAGCATCTTCCTGGCTGCAGATGAGATAGTTGTATCAACTCTTAAGAGTCTCTGAGAAAACAGGAATTCTTYTACTGTCACTCTCAGACTTTCAAGGACTGACATGTGGTGGTGCTACACAGTTGGTTAGAACGAACATAAYGGGATTGTAGCGTGTACCCTAACAATGCTGACATACTACGGAAGAGGTGGTAGTCTGAAATTTAAGACAAATTTTGAATGTATAATTATATTGATTAGCAAAAGCTACTAACAAACGTTATTGACAGATCTTCATTAGGATGGTTTCTGTCACTTAAAATTYATGTAAGGGAATTTACTGGAGTTGAGCTTTTACAAATATAGGACTGTATTTGGCTTCAGGGRGTTGGGTTATGCATCTGAACTGCCACTAAAAATTTCTGATGCTGTTTGGACATCTTTACAGGGTTGATAGATGTCAGGTGACACCTGTGAGTCTCTACTTCACAGGATAAATTATCATCTTGCACAGATACCACATGCTGTTTCCTTGTAGAAATTTGTGTGCAAAATTAAYACTTGAGAGGTTTGTCCAATTTTTAACTCCTTGGTGTGATTAGTTGAAAATATGTGGAAAAATGCTTGGCTTGGAGGTTGTAACTATTCTCAGCAAATCAATGTTTGCTCATTGCTGAGCCTGGGTAGCTGTGCTGTATTGCATTTCTGGGCAGCAGTAGGTACCCAAAATAAGTAGCATATTTCTCGTGTGTGTGGAAAAAGAATTACTTTAGCCACCATTCCAATTTGTTATGGGTTATTTTATTAATGTTTCTGATACTGAATGTCCAGATAGAAAAATGGATCTGAAATGTATTTTTAGAACTAACCTGGGCATTTGTGGGGAACTTAAAATGCGAGCCACAASTGTGTGCTGCCTTCAGGGAGTGGCTGTGCTGGCAGCTGTGCAGTTCAGGGTGTTGCTCAGTGTGTCACAGCTCACAGAGGGACTGGGCTGCTGGGCTGCACTGGAGTCACTCGTGTGAAGTTTCAAACAGTTGTGTTGTGGGCTCTTTACCAGACTGCCAGCAGATTTTTTTGATGAAGCGGAGAAAGACGGTGCAAATGTGCAGCTCTCCAAGGGCTCAGGTCCCAGTTTACTGTCAGGGAATTACGATGACGATGATGATGATGAAGAGGAGGAACAAGAACAATCAAGCAAATCTTCTTCCGTTGTGCAGAAAATAGAAATTCCACCTCCAACTCAAGAAGTAATACCTAATTCCCTGCCTGCAGGTAATGCTGACAGAAATAGTAAGTGATTCAGTAAAGAGAATCTGTGATTTAACTGATCATGAAAGGTTTTTATTTTATTTTTCTAATTATTGCCATTAACTAATAGGCACTGGTGAGGGGTGTGTAATAGTGGTAGTAGAGAAAAATGAGCAAAAAAGTCTCCTGTTATTGTGTGGATAGTTTCTCAGTGTGCTTATTTTATGT